GTCGTGAACATCCAGGTAACTTTCTTTGTCAGTAGTGTGTGTTCCTCTGAGAAAAGGAAATTTATTGTTAGTCTGTATACCATTCTTCTTTTTATTTTAATAAGAAATGGTATCATCGTAGGCAGACAATTTGATGTCATATTTTTCTATGATATTTTCACAGTGCGTACTGAGGTGCTTCCTTTGCAGCTATATGACATGCAGGATTTTCTTTTTTTTTCTTCACATTAGAGCCTCAAAAACATGCTCCATGGCATCAGGCACAAAGACTATCAAACATTCCATCTGTTCATTTGCTCTTTGTTATTTAATAAAGAAATGGCAGAGCCATGATTTTTGACTATCAGACAGCAAACTGTTTGGAAATATCTTCTCTCTTTTCGATCTTTGATGATCAACAGCTCTCCCCTTCTCCAGTCTCTCTGCTCTGACCCCAGGGGATGGGCTGACAGCCTCACTAGGGATTGCAATTGAGAAACTTGCTGAACACAGTCACTGGCCTGCGTGTGTCCCCTCCTGGGCTGTATCTCTTGTTTCCTCCATGTCTTTGCTATCAGTGGGAGTGGCTTGCCAACACACCTGGCAGAATGTAGGCCACTTGTGTTAGCATACCAGCAATGCAGCCCAGGTTGCTGGGAAGCTGCCCTCTGAATATCCCTTGGTCTATTTTTAAATTTCCATACTTGTTTCCTCTCTGAAAGGAAGCAAAGAATAATACCACTTGGCCTTCTCCTCTTTTAAGGAACAAAGTAACCAACAAGGCTAAGACCTGTCTTGAAGTTAAAAAGCATTTGCTAATTAAACTTGAGAATGTTATGATATTTGTGCTCATCTAGTTTCTGCTTAATTAATTTCCAGTTAAGGCAGCATCTCAGAAGAGGTAGAAGCAAGTGTCTATAAGGAGCATAGGTGAAATTTGCTGGTAATTAAAAAGAAAAAAATCCATTATGAAGCTCTTGAACCACTAGTCTTCCAAGTTTTTAATAATAACACATTGTGAAGTCCCCAGAATTTCCCACCACTAGGAATAAATGAGAAATTTGGAGGGCTGTTGAACAGTGAGTTTTTACAGCTAATACACAGAAAACTATTTAGCACAGGTGTTTCAGTAACTGTGAAATACTGAGGAAATTCAGTCTTCTGTGACACTTAGATTCACTGTCTCATGTGGGATGGAGTCTTATGGAAGTTGTAAAATACAGTTTTAGAGGCTGGGAAGTCCAAAGTCCCGGGTATATATCTGGTGAGGGTCTTGGTGGTGGTGGCTTTATAGCAATGCAGGGTGTCACATGGTAAAATGGAAGACTCAGAGAGAGAGAGAGAGTTTGGGAGGCTGGGAAGTCCAAAGTCCAAGGAACACATCTGGCAAGGGCCTTGTTGGTGATGACTCTACACAGTGATGCAGGGTCTCACATGGTGAGAATGGTAGAGCAGAGAGTGATTGTATCTCCTTTTGAAATGTTAGAAACTTATACTTTGTGCATGTGTTACCTCAACAGTTCTTAAAAAACAAAAAGGAAGAGAAGAAAAAAGTAAAAGATAACAAAAGGAATAAGTGAAAAAAAAAAAAAAAAGAAAGAAAAGAGTGTTGTGTTCCTGACCATTGTTTTTATAGTGTAGAGCTAGGCTTTGGAATCAGACCTGCATTCAATCCCAGCTCTGCCACATAATTAGAAGTGTGGCTTTGGACAAATTATTTAATCTTGCAAAGCCTTATTTTTCTATATGTAAGATAGGAAAAAGGGGTTATTAGGAGGGTTAAATAAGATAATATGCATAAAGCACTCAGCATAGTGCCTGGCTACATAGTAAGTACTTAATAAATAATTATAATTAGCCATCAATACTAATTTGTTAAATTGTATATAGACTTGGGCCGGCCCGGTGGCGCACTGGATAGTGCGCCGCTTGGGAAGCGTGGCGGCGCTCCC